TAAGAGAGTAATAAACACTAAAGAGAATGAGTCCAAGGAGGCATTTTAGAACCTCTCAATGTCCAGTGCAAGAGGGCCTTTCATGGAGAACCCAATAAAAAATGACACCTTTGATCCATGTTCAAGTCCACTAATCTGACTCTGAAACAACGGGATGACTTCCAGCTTCTGATCCTGGAAACAAGTATCTACCATTATCTTCTTTTTTCCCCTCACCTGACCAGTGAACCTCTGAAGTAACTTTCTCACTTCCTGTTTTCTAAATATTTGGCCATTTCCCCAAAGGGAAGCAAAGTGTTCCTCTGAACCTGTGACACAACTTTGGATTGCTTTTATTTGCACAAGTCTCCTGCAGCTGCTCTTAGACCCCAACAGGAAATGGACAATTGGATACTTTCCATTGATAACTTCCTTCATCTGTTCAAAATACGACACTTTCAGCTGTGAGATGTAAGTCTCAAGCTGGATACACAGTTCATGTTCTGGTGACAGCCATAATAGCACAACTGCAATGAAGAGCAGTGAGAAATACTCTTCCTCTGTGTGTTTTTCACACAGAAGTTCAGAAAGGACATTAAGCGGGTCTTGGTATAACAGAACATCAGATTCTGGTTTAATACAGCCCAACACAACGTTTGCATAGATCATATTGATTCTTTCTATTCTCTTTGGTTGGTGCTGAGGTAGGCAAATAAAATTGTGTTGCCTAACAATTTCTTCTATCTCTTCAGTTGTGATTTCTTTTGTTAGACAATCCAAAATTCCAGAGAAGGTATCAGCTTTTTCCTTCTCAAGGAACTGTCTTGCCTGGTGAAGGTCAAGGTTAAAATGTTGCTTTTTCAAATCATTTTCAGATTCTGTCTTGCAGAAAACATTTGAATAAGTTTCGAAACACCTAGCAATTTCAGTTTGTGTTACCTTCTCACGGGGATTCTTTATTCCAATTACGGTCCCAAGATTCACATAATTTCTATCAAGGTAGTCAAAGTTCCACTTCATTCTTTCTTTGAGATTGCAAAGCATGTTCTCAAACTCTCTAAGAATATCATAATATTCTCTGTATTTAATGCCCCAGGGATCACTTCTCTCCATCTCACTCAGTGAAATATTTCCAGATAGAAACTGGCTCATTATGTCATGTGGAATACCATCAGAGGAAAACACAGTTTTCTGTAATAAGTGTATGACAAAAACTCCAACCTGGATTTCTCCAAGACATCCTGAAGTGTTGAAAGGGCAGTTATTTCTTTTGATTTGTAATCGCTCAAATGACTCCCTCTTAGCAAGGTCTTGTGTTTCCCTAAATGCTACCATTGCAGACTGGGCCAATTTGAGGGAACTTAACAATTTCTCTGGGCTGATGGGATCTTCTTTGCACTCTGAAATTTCACTCTTTAGCTGATGCTTAATAACCTGTGCTGCAGTGTTTGCCATGTAGGAGTCCTTTGAAAATGCCATTGCTTTTTTCGCCCATTCCTTTGCAACAGAGAAATCCTTCTTTTTCAAATAGTAGTATCTGGCTAACAACTGACAGACAATAGCATCATTGTCAAATCTTTTTGTTGCATTTTCTAGCACTATCTCTTCCTGTCCTGGTGTTTCTCCAGCCACTTGTTGGATGAGAGGAGAGAACCGAGAATCTTCGTCAAATGAAGGAAACCTTTTCACTAAAATATCATGAACATCTTTAACGAGATTGTCTCTACCTTGGGTATGCTCATAAAGCTGGTCTGTGGTCAAAAGAAAGTTGGCAATTTTTGCTGTTGTCACATTGTGTGTATTTCTGATTTCCTCCAAACATTGCTTTGCAATGATAGAGTAGGTTATTTTCACTGCTTTGTAAACAACTATGTCTTGATCCAAGCAGCTAGAAATGAAACTGGAATATTCCTGAAAGATATCATCAATCCGAACACCTCCACAAACAGGTTTTGGATGGTCCAAAAAATCCATACATAGAGATAAGGAGATAGAGGAGACATTACAGTAAACTTTCAACAGAACCAAAACAGCAAATAGTTGTGCATTCTTTTTCTCCATGTTGAAGTTTTTCAGAGTTTTCTGGACCACCCCTTTAATATATTCTGGGTTAAAGTTTTCCTTCATTATCATGAAACCATAAAAAGTTTCAAAATTCTGATGTTCTTTTTCTATTTCTCTAAGTTTCACCTCAAACAGTTTCAGCTCCTTGTCAGAGAGACGGTTCCCAATGAATACAGTGGTAGGAGTTGTCTCTGTCACTTCAAAGGAATTTGATCTCATACAGTTGAGGAGAATGACTTTAGCTGATTGTATGTCTTTCTCAATGCACTCATTTTCAATGGCCTGCTGTAAGTCATTAACATTCTCCATATCATCAAAGTCATCTATCATTAGCAGTACAGGGATCCTTGGTGTTTGCTCATCATAGGCATACATCAGAAGTTGGACCACTTGTTCAGCCACATAAGCAAAGTTAGACTTTTTCTTGAGGACAGCACATCGAAATCTGTCTCGAAGAGCCCACAACACATGCTTTGCCAAAGTTGTCCCACCACACCCAGGCAAATGGATGAGATTGAGCAGCACACAAGCTTTTGTTAGTGAGCATAAATCTGGTATAATAGTGTCCACAATGTAATCAAACTTGTCTCGTTTGATGAATGCGGTTAATCCAGGCTGCTCAGAGAAATAAAAATTCCACCATGAGACATTTCCACCTCTATAAAAGTCCTCCTCAATGGCAGCTCTGTCCTCATTTCCTCCTTCACACTGGTTCACACACAGGACCTCTAAGAATTTCAGGCTGCGCTCAGATTTTTTCATCAGAGGCACCTTAATACCACCCCCACAAGGTAGAAACCGAATGGCTCTGCGGTTTTCTGACCAAAGACTGCGGATGGTTCCATTGACTTCAGCAAAGCTGAGCTCATATATACATCTGTCAGAGATGTCCTCCCCACACCTTGCAGAAATGAGATCCTTCCATGAAGTAAATGCATTTTCATTGTCACAGATACAGAGGATTTGATCCATGGCTTTGAGCTCCTGCAATAACATGTTGAAAGTCTCAATAAGTGGGTCCATTTTCTCACTAACTGTTGACAAAAGTAAGAAAATGACAAGGAACCTCTTGTGTGGAAGCACATCTCTGCGGCACAAGAAAGAAATCACTTTGTGTACAGAGGCCCCTTTCTCTATTGACCACTGTTTAATGTCTGAGGGTTTCTCTCCCTCAATACCTCCATTGCAGAATACCCAGCTGGTGTTATTAGGTAACTCCAATTTGACAGCAGTTTCTTTGACACTTCCCATTACTTCATATTTTGCTGGTAAATGAGGGCTCACCGTGTTATTCTGCTCATAGTAGCTCAGTAATCCATGTTCATTTGATTCAGGATCAAAGTCTAGAACAGCTACAGGTTTAAGCTCTGTAAGAAAATCCAGATTTTTAAGATGGCTTGAATGAGATTTGTTTGTCACGACCAGGTAACGCTCATAATTGGACTTATCCAATGACAAAGTTCCACCAGTTATCATGTGCATTAACTTTGAGCCTTGAGTTGAGCTTTTTATTGCTTCGGAGTGCTTCTCCTCTGCATCCTTGCGGAGCTTCGATAGTTGTGGTATTCCATCAACAAACTTGTTATATTCAACCATGGGTTTGGAAGATGTAGTTGGGGCAAAAAGATCTCTGGAACTACCACCATCACGGATGTAGAAAACCTTTAATTGTTTTGATTTGGTCTCGTTAGTCATTTTCTTTGCTTTTTTAATGGTGTACGTTTTGTAGGTTTTTTCTCCACAGATAGAAAACTGAGGCTCAATGTCCACTTCAATCACATATTCATAAGATAAAGTGGTGTTTTTGTTTAGAACCTCAACAAAACGAGGAGGCTTAATGCACTTTTGAGCATCATCCTTGTGTTTGTGTTCAAAGTAACCATCAATGGCTTCTTTTAGGGATTTTGCATATGCCTCTTTGTCATCAACAGCCACTCCCAACACCTGACCATGAACAAATTCTGGCTTGTCTCCTATTCCAAAATGTATGGTACCATTAGTGCGGCTATTCATGCAGGCAGCAGCAAACCTAATGACCTCAGTGATAAATTTTTCCATTTTCTTATCCTCTGGAGTGTTGTAAAACCCTTTGAATTCATGACAGGGTTCTATGAAGTTGAAGGATCCTGATTCTGGGACCGCAAGAATGTTGTCCTTTAGATATCTAAAAGCATCATGATATCTACCAAATGGGTATGGTTTGGTTGGTTCTCCAGTTGACTGGTTTCTGGAACATGTTGGCTCAACTCTCTTGAAGTTGATGAGCTCATCTCTGGCATGAACAATACGCATAGCTGGTCCAAGCTTCACACCAATTTCTTTAAGTTTTGATTCGTCCAATAGTAAAAGACTGGAGCCACAGATCTCTTCTTCAAACAGCAGTTCTGCTATTCTGCTCTGAGATTCATCTGCTTTTTGCAGCGACAGAACCCATTTCTTTACATGAAATTTACTCCAGTCTTCAATATCAGGTGGCAGATCCTCCTTCTGGAATAGAAAAAGGTAAACATGTTTTTTTCCAGAGCTCTACCAAAGTGTCTTGATTTAGAAAAAAGTAACTGAAAAAAATCATTGATTATTTATGTATTTGATTTTAAAGTTGATACTGTAATCAGAAATTGGTGTAAATTAAAAAAATAAATAAAGAGTATTTGCTTAGATATAATATATATAGAGATGTCCTCCAAATAGCTTATTATTTTCAGTAGTACTTACTTTAATTTCTATATTTTCTGCCATATTGGCAGTGATGTCCTCCTTGAAAATGTAAATCACAAATGGTAGCTGCAAAAAAATTCCTAGATTAAGTTATTTGTTAAAGAGAAAAAGATCTTAAGATTTATCAAATCCTAAATCACTTACCTTGATTTTAACTCTCTGCAGATGATAGCCAGGTCACTTCTTCTAACAAAATCGTATGCTGTAAAAAAGAATAAATTATATTAATTATAAGCATTGGTGGAGGAAGACATGATTTTGCTCAGCTGTGCAGACCCCAGGCTGCACCAATCTCCCTGCAAAACAGTCTGAGAAACCCATTTCAATGCTGTGCTTGTTATAAGGCCTGTGCACAACCCCATACACATTCTCTTAGGAAGTAGTAGTTAAGTAGTCCCATGGCCACATCTACAGCTAGCTTTCTGCAAAACAGGCTGTCTGCATCCCCCTCTCTGAGTTACAGGAATAACTTGTTGTCAAATGTCCCAGACTTGGTGAATTCTTGTTGGTGGTGTATCTGACAAGGTACACATCAGGAACCCCGGGTGGGAGATCCCACAGACTCCCAGGTGAAAGTCATGCATGCTGAATAGTCAGCCAAAGGGATTTCCCTTGGCTAAGTAACCAAGGTGCATCATCAGTTGGAGGAACACACTGTCACATGTATTAAAAATTAAATTGGCTCATGTTTTTTTACCGCCTTCATGCATTTTAAAATATTTGATTTTTTGTGATATATACCAATATACTCTATATAAAACAGCAAAATTAAACTTTTGAATTTTAAATTTTTAGCCTTTAGCTTCTCGATTTTGGTTATACAAGTAAAAATAATAAATATAAAATAAATATTTAGGACTGGTTAATGAATAATTGGATATGAAAATGCACAGACATTCTTAATCTTCAGAATAATTGTTATATTTCCAGTATTTTTAAATCCATTGTAAATAATTACAGAATGAATTAAATAAATAATGTAAATCATTGAAATAACTAAAAATAAAAACCCTGTCACCATTTATACACACCCTTTATTTGATAGAAAAGCCTTTGTTGGCATTGTGGCAATGGAGCTTAACAGGAATAGTAAAGTTTTTAGCTATACTAGCTTAATACATTACTTACAGAACTCTTTGTCGAAATATACATCTGGAAAAGATTATCAGTTTTTTTTATTCTTGATTAAAAAAATAAACAAACAAACAGTTCCACATATGATGTCTGCTTAATCAACTCATACAGGCTTGATATAACAAACAGGTAGATCAGCCCTCACCTGATTCACCTGTTCCAGCTCCTATTTATGCTGCCAGTTTACAGCCATCAGTGCCAGATTATTTGAGCCGAGTGTGAGAGTTATCTAGCGTACCTTGTTGTGTTGTGATTGACTGATCCTGACCTGTTTTTGCCTCTGGCTTCCTGAGTTTGGCTTGCCCTTGTTCCTGTCTGTTTCTGCCCGTTCCTGTGTTCTGACTGCTGTCTTGACTCTGCCTGTTAACGATCTTGGATCTGCCCCCTGACTAGAGACTGACATTTTTTCGGGAATCCCAAGGGTCACGGGATTCCCGTGGGATTCCCGTGGGATGGGAGTCAGTATTAGTAACGATCACGTGATTGGGACGGTACAGGATTCAACATTAAAAGGAGCAGACGGGAGCGGGAGCAAACCAATAGTAACTAAATAAAACTAGGATTGGATGCCAAAAAATAAAATAAAATAGAAAGAAAAAAAATCTGGTACTGGCGCCGCCATTTTGTAGTTTTTTTTTTTTTGAAGCCTACACTATAATGCGAGTCAAAAAAACTACACCACGCAAAAAACAACAGTGCTTCCGTTTTTCACCTGCGCTCAAAAACAACAGTGGAGGGACCAACAGTTACTACAGTTAGAAACAGGACCTTAACTGACCCTTCATAGAAATTCAGATTCAATGTATTGGCGGGAGTCATTCTGAATGGGAGTGGGATGGGAGTGGGAGTAATTTCACCAGGAGTGGGACAGGACAGGATTTAGATTTCTACTCTGGCCCGGGATCGGGACAGGACACAATTTTTTTCTGTGGAAGTGGGACGGGACAGGAGTGAAAATCCACTCCCGTGTCAGTCTCTACCCCTGACCCTGGCCTGGATTTTCCCTTTGGTACCTCTGCGTCTCTCCTATCTACTGGTCTGGTCATCTGCTTCATCACCTACTCTGGATTCTGCATTTGGACTCTTCTGCTTTTCTGCGTCTGCTGGCTTCCACTTGTCAGTCTGCTCTGCCAAACTCCTGGAACTCTATGAGCGACTTCTGCTACAAGCTGTGGAGAAGTCATCCGACTAGTTCCTACTCCTTACTCTGTACACAGACAGAACTAAGAACCAAGTTAGTGACTCACATGCTCCTTATTGTTCCCCATCTGAGTCTAGCGATCACTAACCTGAGAATCTATCTCAGAGAATCCAGCAAGCCGGTCCCAGCTGATAAGCTGCGCAATCCAGAGCAGTCAATAAAGCATTTTACTTTTAAACAAACCTGTTCTGTCTGCCTGAATTCTTGGTCCTATTTTCTGAGCCTTGACAGGCTGGGCTCTCACTTAGAGATAGGGTGAGGAGCATGGTCTGAGCTGGAGGAGGTGTCTGCAGAGAGGGAAGTCTGGGGGTCTCTATGAAGACTGCTTCCCCGCAACCCCGTCCCATAAATAGCGTACAAATACTATATTTATCATGCACTAAATGGGGAAGCACTACAATTTCATGATGTGCAGTGACAATAGAGCTTATTTTCTATTATATGGTGATATTAGAATAGAATGTTGATGCACACATTATTACCAAAACTAAGAAAGTGGAGCACATCACCACAATTAAAAAATACTCTAGTTGGTCAATAAATCCCTGAATGGCTTGACTTCAAAATGCATAGTCATAGTTTATTAACTGCCCAAACCTCTCAAATCTTCTGAATAAAATCTACTCTATATACCCAGAACCAAACATGGAGAATCAACATTTAGTTTTATGCTCAACTTATCTAAAGTAAATTCCAAGAAGACAGTGCACGTGCTTAACAACAAATTCTTGTTAATCAAGGTTAAAAAAAATTATATAGGGTTCTCTTTGAATTTTTTTTTAAAGTGGCATTAGAGTTTTCTAATTAAACTGTCATCTGTGCTCAAAACACAGAAATGCAGAACTCATTTTAATGACTCATCTTTATTTTTTTATTATTATTTTTTAACTCATGTGGAGTTGCTATTGGTGTCTGAGCTAAGGTGGATGCTGGTCGTATCCACAAAAAAAAAATAAATAAATAAATAAAAAATTATATAAAGCTTCAGTTGTGTGCTAGGTCAGACCAATTTAATTGAGGCGCTTCATGTAGCATCCGGTAAACAGCATTGGAACTTCCAAGTTCAGGAAAGGAGATTTTTACTACCCGATCCGTCACTGAAGCAAAATACGTACCATCATCTCATTTGCAACCAGATATACAATAATGTAATTACAGTAAGGTACTGTAATGACTAATTTTCATCCTTAACTCTCTAAAGGATACTAATACACATCCAAAATTGTTTTATAAATTTTCTGAGACAATTTTGATGCTTTTTAAATTTTCTTTGTTAAACTGCTTGTCTGACTTTATCATCAGACATGCTCAAAATGGTTCAGCAACATATGGTTAAACCATGTTTTACATTTTAGTTATTTCTTTCTTTAGATTACACACTATATACCATAATGTTAACAACAAAGGTAAACATAAAAGTCAAACAGACTAGATGTATGTTTAAATTAAAAGCCGAAAAAGTTAGCCTCTGTAAGTTGCAGAGGATCCCATTTCCGGTACAGATCGGGCACAGAAGAGTAATAAAACAGAAAGGATTTTAAATTAAAATCCTTTCTGTTTTATTACTCTTTAAATTCATGAAAATTTTTAATGTATTTATTTTCTCAGGAAAGACATTATTAACATTTAACACATTAAAGTTAAATACTATTTTTGGGGAGGGAAAAACGTATTTTAGGTCTTTTTACAAAATAAATTTGAGGGCAACCCGGATGTATATCTAATTGCCCATGCGCTAAAGAGCTAATGGTACGGACCGTGCTTCTGGGACGGATCAGGTTGTGACAGAGGCTACAGGCTTGTAGATGCATCAACGCTGAACTACTGAGGTGTCAGTGGGCTTATCCAACAATGCATTAGTCTTAAAGGGAGTGAAATAATAATAATAAGAGCCTGTGTTAGAGGAGTTAGAGCCTCTGAGGAGGAGTGTGTGGACCGGGTCCTCCAAGTGAGGGTTGAAGGAAGGAAAGGACAGGAGAGATAAGAATAAGTGGTTGCAGCTTCCTCAGCCTCCTTCATGGCATGAGAGGAAGACAGCTGTTGTGAAATTTTTCATTTTAGCTCACTGTGGTTGCCACATCTATGCTCAAACCAAAGACTGAGCAAACTAAAACAGCATCAACGTCATATGCTTAAACTTCTTGAAGCCTCTTTGCCCATGCTAAACTAACTAACTAGTACTGCTCACATGTACAACACTTCCCCTTTTTTCAGTTTCCAAGACGCGCATACGCATGATTCATAACCGTCATGAGACAATACAGCCTCCACCCTCTAACCAGATCGAATATATATATATATATATATATATATGTATATATATGTGT